ACTGAAGCAGGGCCTACATGGGTCTGTACCAGGTCCTCTATGTGTATATTACAGCCTTTAGCTTAGTATTTTTTTTTGGGACTTCTGATTGTGAGAATGAGTGGGTCTCTGACTCTTGTGCCTGCTCTGGGGGCTCTTTTCTTTTTATTGTGTTGCTGTGTCAAATTTCAACAATAGTAGATTTTGCTTCATGTTATTTTATTTCATTTTGTCATGTTTGGTATTTCTAAACGGCTAATAGCTAGGCAGGAGAAAAGATAGGCAGGGTTGGCAAGCAGAGAGAATAAATAGGAGGAGAAATCTGGGAAGAGGAGATAGGGGAGCAAAAAGAGAAGGAGAGGAGGATATCAGGGGTCATCCACCCAGCTACACAGCAAGCCACAGAGTAAGAAGTAAAGACAAATATATAGAATAGAGCAAGATAAAAGCCCAGAGACAAAAAGTAAAAGGGATAATTTAAGTTAAGAAAAGCTGGCTAAAACTAGTGAAAACACATGAACTGTGAACCAATACCTGAGTAGCCCCCATGGAACTGGACCAGGTCCTCTGGATAAGTGAGACAGTTGATTAGCTTGAAATGTTTAAGAGGTCCCCAGGTAGTGGAACTAGGACCTGTCGTTGGTGCATGAACTGGCTTTTTGGAACCTAGAGCCTATCCTGAGACACTTTGCTCAGCCTTGGTGTAGGGAGGAGGGGACTGGATCTGCCTCAACTGAATGTACCAGGCTGGGCTGACTCCCCAGGGGAGACCTTGCCTTAGAGGAGGTGGGAATGAGGGGTGGATTGTGGGGAAGGCTGAGGGGTGGGAGGAGGGAGGACAGGGAAATCCGTGGCTGATATGTAAAATCAAATTAATTATAAAATAAAAATATTTTTAAAAAAAGAAAAGGAAGAGCTAAATAAATTGGAGTAGCGATCCAATGGAAAAAAAAGAAAGAAAAGGAAAGAAAGAAAAGCTGTCTAGAAACAAGCCAAACTAAGTAATAATAAGTCTCTTTGGGAGCTGGGTGGCAGGCTCCACAAAGAGCCAAAAATAAATAAATAAATAAATAAATAAATCCCAAAATAAACAACCTACAAAAGAAGACTACATAGGCTTATTTATAGTTATGATCAGTCCCATTCATAAAAAGAGACTGCTTTAATAAATGGAGTGATTGGTACAACTGGCCGGGGGTGGGGAGTGTCTTGCTGGTGTACAATGAGGTTAGAGAGAAGTAAGTGTGGGTTGTAGATGTTCCTCTAAACCATGTCTTAATAAATCTCCATGTTCTATGAGAGCAGATATCAAACGAATATCATAATGCAGGCTGAGGTGTTCCTAGCTCAGAAATGAAGCTTAAGGTCACTTCATCTGCTAAAAAAAAAAAAAAAAAATGGCCAGTTGACATGATCAGAGAGCTCTTGTGGTAGAAAGCCTCTGGCAAAAGAGAAAAAAGAAAAGAGGAACCCCCAAATTTAGGAATCAGATAAATAATTTAGCACTGATGAAAAGAATGCAAACACCCTCAAAGGTGTTTTTACATTTAAAAAAAGGCAAATTTACATAATTCTTGCTCCTCCACATGCATGGCTTACTGCATCTGTTTCACACCTATTCCAGCCCAGTCAATTCCAAGTTCTGCAGGGCTTTGTGCGCTTGTTCCTCAATGCTGGGTTTTGGTTTTCTAACTCTTATATGTGCAGGGAAGCATCAGGTAAGAGATCTGCTAAAGATTTCCAGAGCAGAAGAGAACCGGAACTCACTGCTCTCAATGAACCTTTGTCCTCAGATGGACAGAGGGACCTGATGTGTCACAGCTTGTCTGTGGCCACACTGTAAGCAACACTGCGTCTTACCTGTTGCTCCAGTCCTGAAGCTAGATGTTTCCCCCAGGTCTACAGGTTGACAGAGGCACTCCTGTCCTGCAGATTGCTCCATGAGTGCAGTGCTTTAGTGGGGCATGGATTGTGCTTCTTTATTTGAAACTCCAACTTTTCCTCATAGACCTTTGTTTTCCCGACAACACCAAAAACTGTCTAATAAATAATCTTTCATTAGGTACCTTCTTCATTTCATTGATAATGACCAGGCTTCCTTGTTTCTGTCTCAGTTGTACAAAAATTACTTACTGACATTCTTGATCAAATGAACATGGTCTGAGGAAAGAAAAACAATAAACGAGTCCGGAAAGCTCTGGTTTCGATAAATAACAGAATTTATCACCTAGTATTGGCATAGCAAATTGGTTGCATTTTGTGTGTTTTTTTTTTTACTCCAAATCCTATAACAAGGAGGCTTTGGAAACCATTTCCAGAGTGAGGAAGATATTATGGCCCATGCAAAGATCAACTCAAATGGGAGTGGAAGCAAGCAGATTCACACCTGCTGGTTTCTACTAATCTCTAGAATCCATGACCTCGTTACCTATATTTCTAGCCATGAGACACTCATTTCTCTATAATGTCAGGGTGAGATAAACAGAAAGCACATAATGGAAAGTTAAGCCCTTTCTGATAACAATAGTCATCTAGTCTAAGTGCTTCAGCTATTGATAAACACATGTCAGCATTTACCTATTTATTCCATTGGAGAACACTGGGTAACTCTTAAGTGTTTTGCCCTCCAGGCTGACATTAAAAGTTAATCACCACCACATGGGACAGGCCTCTGGAGACTCTGACAGTCTTCAACTAGTATCTGCAACTCATGCATCTCACATTAGCTTCTGAGTTGCTCACCTCATCTTCTCACAATAGAATGTTTTTTCTATAAGCAGAGGCTCACACAATAAAAGGCCCACGTCACCATTAGTGTGAGGAGTACATTGAAGAAGGACAGCTACTGCAAGAATGTCTTAGAGCCTTGAGTTACATTGTTAAGGACAAAGAGCCATGGCATATGTGGCCTCCAATGTAAACTCATGCCTGCAATTCAATACTCCCAATAACGCAAAATATGTAATTCCTATGGCTCAGTTTTCAGTCATACTTTATTTCAATTTAAAGTTTAATTAGTGTATGCTTTTTAATTAATGTGTTTGTTCACCATTATTATTCATGAATATATCTATGCTATGAATAGTTAATTTTTTGGTAACTATTATGTGATTTCATGCCAGGAACCACACCTGCTAATTCACTAAGGCCATCATTAAATACATAGAGAGCCTTCAAATACAGTTGTAGTGAAGAGGGGTTGCTGCTAGTAGCTAGAATGAACAAAGGGTTAAGACAAAGTATTTGGAAGGGAGGTATTAAATAATTTTGGTAGAAAAAAAAGAAAACCACTGGTGTCCTGGAGAATAAAATGAGTTATAAAGAAACAAAAGAAGATAAGAAAGTAAAATTTCACATGACGGATTGAATCGGACCAGTAAAATATCTGAAAATCTACTGCTTGCATCAATGTCAAAAAATCCAAAGTGAGCAGGTGATCTGAGCGTGCAGCTGACATTCCATTTTCACACTTGCTTGGTCTATAAAATACTTCTTTAGCTTTCTTGAACAAAGACACCACAGTGGGCTACACAAGGTGTAGCAAAAGCAGAGAAAACTTCCGTCTTCTCTGCATGCATTAGTCATTCTCGTCCTCTGAGCCTGTGTCTTAATTGCCTTGCCTGTCTTATTAGATTGAAAACCCACTGGGTTGGGACCATCACTACTAAGGTGTGCAGCACGGAGCTTGGCAGGTGATCAGCACTCAATAAATGTCTATTGTGACTATAAACCAATGTATAAATCTCAGAAATAGGCATAATAATGGACCTGACAGATTAATGCCTGAGGCTATTTTTGTACAGCAGCATGGGCTAGCCAAATCAAAATCAGACACCTCAGATTCAATTCTTCTCAGTTTTGCATGTAATTCTCAGTCTCTCACAGTTTTTTCCTGTGACAGACAGGAGGAAATGATAGTCAACTTTTCAACATAATTGAATTAAAAAGCATTCTCTTACCCCTCTTCTCTCTTTGTGGTCCCCTTCTCTAATGCTGTTGACCCATTATGTAGATGCCATTGCCTTTTCATTATTGATGGAGGGGATTCAGATTCTGTTGCAGATATTGTACAAGGTATATATTCTGAGCACTTCATTTTTGTGGTAGATTTTTCCTCAGAGCCTGACAAGGAACTTCTGGTCGGGTGGTGTATGCCCATTTTCCTACCACCTGGGGGTGCTAGGCAGGAAGAATTAAATTTGAGAGATCTCATCTCAAAAAACAAAGGACTAGGTGAATTTAGGTCAGTGGTGGGTGTTTGCTTAGTGTGCCCATGACCTGAGGTTCAACATCCAGCAAAGCAAAAACACAGCAACCATAAATATCCAGTTCATGTTTGTTTGTGTCCTCTGAGGTGACTGAGGCAGAATCATTGTTATTTTCCTTGGATAATGTCATGTCCAAAAGCCTGGGGACAAATGGGTGACTGTGGTGTCTTTTGGCATAACAAAAATAGGGCATCTCTCCCTTTCTGGACTTAACCAGCATTCCAGCCTTTCTGGACTCTGACAATGATGTCCTAATTTCAGCTAAGAAACAGTTACAGAAGAGATTATATCATGACTTATCAAGAAAAAAAGTCTGGAATGTCAGTTCCAAAACAAACTGGGGACAAATGGCTAACTATGTTGACTATTAGAATACCAAAGAGCATGCTGGCCTTCAGGCTCTCTCAGCATCTCAAGTAACTATTATAGAGTCCATGCTGGCGTCCTGGTTCCTCTCAGCTCTTCTCACCCCTTCCCATACGCTAAACTTCTTCAGTTCATGGGTTTCCTTTCTCTCAGCTTTCCCCCCCTATATAACCCTGTCATTTTGACCCTGTGCTGTACTGGGTAGCCATTCCAGCTTGGATCTGGAAGTTCCAACCCCCGTTGAGACTCTGGCAACTGTCACGCCTATGAGGCGGGGCCAGGAGAGGCGCCGGGGGACCGAGAGCTGGATGGGCGAGCGCTCTCTCTGTGCGCTCACTCGGTGCCAGGACGCTGAACGGTGAAGGTGGACTGTGCAGAGCTCCGGAGAACACCGCTAGACTGCGTTACACCTTCCTCAGACCCTGCGACCTACCCATTACTTAATTTGTGAGTTACGCCATTAAATAAATATCCTTTTAACTACATGGAGTAGCCAAAATAATTTCTCCAATACTGTGCTCTTTGGTTCTCTGGGCTCTTGGCTCTCTCTTGGTTCTCTTTCTGACTGACTCCCTCCTGCCTCATGGCCCATTTCAGTCTACTGGTCATGTTTAGTCTATTACTTTCTCTTCCTGCTCTGGACTCTTCCAGATGCCTCTGACTGTGCTCTCCCTCATCTCTACAAAGAAAACCTTCTCCTCAATCATACCTTGGAACAGTCATATCCTCACTTTATATATCTGGTCCCAAAACTCCACTTTATGCTGATAGCTGATAAGCATGCAGAAAAATCAATGAATTAATCAGGTTCTTTCCAAGGAAAAAAGGTAATGGTGTGAGTAGAACTTTCCAGAATAGGAAAGACAACCAAGGACAATGGCAATATCCTATGCTGTTTTGGGAGCATCTTCTTTTCCTCTGGCTAGCAAGTCCAGGAGAAGTTTCCCATGCTTGGCACTGGCATTTGTTAGATTAGTGCATGGCTCCTGTGAACATCATCATCACCCCATGTGATAGATAATATATATATATATATGTATATATATATTATATATATACACACATATATAAAGCATGTGATTTTTATCTTTCTTTCATTAATCCCCCCGTCCTTCTCCCTCTGCACTACCCTTCCTTTCTCCTCCTAAGTTAAAGTCTGCCTCCACTATTGCCACTACTCTCTTCACAGTACCTATCTTCTAATAGTTTCCACTCATCCTTCTTCACACAGTCCCTTTCTACTTTCCTGGCTTCTTAGGAACCTTCAGGGTATCTGATATAATCTAAGGATGCAGAGCTAGGACCCACAAAGAGGAGAAAACAAGCAGCATTGTACCTTTAAGCCTGACTTATTTCACTCAGTGTATCTTCCAATTCTATCCATTTACCTGCAAATTTCATGATTTCATTTTTCCTTATGGCTGAATAGTATTCCATTGTGTATATGTACAATATTTTTATTATCCATTCCTCATTTGAAGGACATTTGGGTTATTTCAGTTTCCTAGCTCTTGTGAATAGGGCAACAGAGGGAAAGAAAGGGTTATTCTTAACAGGTTTTTAAAGATTTTTGAAAATGAAATGTGATAGTCTTCAAATTTCAGTTTTTCCTTACTTAATGTGCCAGCTCTATCTACCAGTGAGATAAGATTATTAGCTTATGCTCTGCAAGGATCCACCTGTTGTCCTTTAAAAAGATTTATTTTTATGCTTCTTTCCCAATGAGTAAAACAATCATTCAATTTAGATTATACAAATTTGCAATTTGATCACTGAAATTATCTGAAAGTTTCAAAACAGTTTTAATTACTCCATTTTCTTCCTGAGATAGTTGGAATATGTGTAATAACTCCTTTAGAGCCATTCTTTTGTAAAGACAAACACACTGGTTATCACAAGAAAAAAACAAGGAAATGATAGAAAATCAGGGATGAAGACAGGACTAAAAGCAAACTTTGATCCTCTATCAGCCATTAGGAAACAGAAGGCTTCAAATTTTATACTACTCAATTTAAAAGAGATGAGATATATAATAATGACACAATTTGAAGAGAGCAATCCTGTTTTCTCTATTATTGTGATATTCCAGGTAATTTTGCCAGAATATTTCCAACTATATATTGTTTGTACATAGAATATTTTAAATAAATATTACTTCACCAAACACATCTATAAAATTTGTCATGCCCCATGTTTTCATATAGAGTATTTTCCTTCAAGATAGGTGAAAACAGTAAATTCGAGAATAAAATGAAAGAACTTTTCTTCTTTCTGAGATTAAGAAAGAACTTCTCTGCAGGAATGATGATGGCCAAGTTTTATAAAACCAACTCTAGGTAATTTTGTTTTTAATGAGATTGTCTGCTTCTTCTTTTTTCCAAGCAAGAAAGGAGGATGATTATAGTACTTTCCTAGATACTTGGATCTTCAAAACCTTTGTTATCCCTAAAGTTCCAAACCATATGAAGGCCATCAAAATTCTCTCCAGCACACAGCTTGTGGTATTCATCTTGTATGGGCAAATGCTTAAAATGATTATGTTTTGACCTTAGAGGTTGTTAATATGGCAACATAATTATATAACTCTTAATTTACCATTTGCGTGCAAATAATTTAAATAATATGTGCACACATGCTTCATTGATGAATTTTCCATCATAAATATCCTGCTGCTGCTGTCTCGGTCTTTGTTCAGGCATGTATGAATGTAAGTGATCATCAAAAGATAGTTGGCATTATTTAGAGGTCATGAGAGACACGGGTATCTGCTGAGAGACTACACATACAGTTCATTTGCTTTGAGCAGGCATTAGTGGCATAAACTAATTAATGATATAAATGGGAGTCATTCTTTCCTTTTTTTATTAATTTTTTTATTCATTTTCCATACCAAACATAGATTTCCCTCTCATCCTTCCTCCTGCTCCCTCCTAGTCTACCCTATTCCCCACTGCTGACCTCCTCCCCTAAAAGGTTAAGGCATCCCATGGTGAGTTAGCAAAGCCTGGTTCATTCAGTGGAGGCAGACCAAGCCCCTCTCCCCTGCATCAAGGCTGAGCAAGCCCTCCCACCATAGGTAATAATGGGCTCCAGAAAGCCAGCTTTTGTATCCTTTGTGCATAAATGGGATTCTTTAAAGTTAGTTTGTGGGTTTTCAAAAAGTTTTAGCCTAGAATCTTCTTTAAAAATTAAGTGTACAGCATGTAGTTTAAGAGCTGTGCCATGGGAAAAGAAAAACATGAATCAGCATCCAGATAATTCCCTCAGTATGTACCTTGAAAAAGCCATGTAACTGTAGCTAGAGTTTTCCTGCCTTGCCCACAGTCAGGACAAATCTCTGTCACCCGCCAGTCCCAGGGTGCTCAGACCCAACCAAGTAAACACAGAGACTTATATTACTTACAAACTGTATGGCTGTGGCAGGCTTCTTGCTAACTGTTCTTATAGCTTAAATTAATCCATTTCTATGAATCTATACCTTGCCATGTGGCTCGTGGCTTACCGGCATCTTCACATGCTGCTTGTCATGGCGGTGGCTGGCAGTGTCTTCCCCCTCAGCCTTCCACTTCCCAGAATTCTCTCAATTCTCCTCTCTGTTAGTCCTGCCTATATTTCCTGCCTGGCCACTGGCCAATCAGTGTTTTATTTATTGACCAATCAGAGCATTTGACATACGGACCATCCCATAGCATGTAACTGAGTCGTATGTGTATTAAATGAAATATACCTATAGCTACTTAGCTCTCTGGTTTCCCATAAGAGACAATGGGTAGGCAATTTGTATTGTTATCCTTCACTTTTGTAGACAGAATAGAAATGCAAATGGAAAATTCATATCGAAGAAGATGGGTATGAAAAAGAGGAACAAGAATGAGAAATATGATGAACCTTCAAGTCAGAGCACATGTCTGAAGTTGCTCTCTGGCTTCATCATATTTTTTCTTTTCTGCTGATCAGGTCTGGATTTTGTCAATACCTAAATTGTTTCTGCCTTATCTGTGACATTCAGTAAATCACTTTCTGTGCATTTAAGTAGTTTTGAAATTATACAGTTTAATCCAATGTTGTTTTTAGCTGCAGAGTTTTCCTTTCTGTGCTTTCTTCTTATTATCATCTTTCTAGAATTTAACATTAGGAAGACTCACTTTTACAAAACTCTGAGCAGTGTCTCTGTGGTTCCTAGTTTGTTTCCATGATTTCCAATCTTCCAGTTTTGGTGTCCTCTACATTCACTGCTCTCTCTCTTCCAGGGTCTTCAGTCAGGGAAACGTATACAACCCTGGTATGGTTATACGTGTTACTGCTTGATCAGCTGATTAGTTTTAGACACCTTTTAATGGTGATGCTGTTCCAAAGCTCACTTAATAAAACTAAACGGAATCCTGCTTCTTATTTCATATCAGTGTTGTGTCTTTAAGTGTGATGCTTATAATAGCAGTGATTGCTATTACATGAATCATACCATATGACAATTTTATGTTAGATTTTTTATATGCTAAGCAAGGACCTTTTTAAAGAATCATAATTGTTAGGTCAAGAAGAATTACAAAAAAACATTCACAAATCAGTTGCTATCTGCTTTCCCACCCATTGCTATTCAATAAAATTTTAGTGAATTTAATACAGATCATCAAATGATAAAAGCTCCATAGTATACCTTCCACAGTTTTTATGATGTTATTTGATTGGTTGGTTGTCACTTCTTTTTTTGTTTGTTTTTATTTTACAAGACAGGGTTTCTCTGTGTAGCCCTGGCTGTCCTAAAACTCACTATGTAGACAGGGCTGTCCTCAAACTCAAAGAGATTTGCCTGCCTCTGCCTTCCAAGTGCTGGAATTAAAGATTGTGCACCACCACTGCCCAGCTAAGTGTCACTTCTTAAATGTTAGAGTAACTTTTCACTTTCTATTCCAAACCTAAATTGCCAGTAATTTAATCTTTTATGTAAGGAATCTTGGATGTCTATTGGTATACCTTTAAAACAGTTCTATTATAGACAAAATAATAATAGCTAACATACATTGAGCACATATCATGATGCAAGTACTTTTCAAATATTGTATGAATTAATTCTCTCAATAATGTACAGTAGAGCTACCATTTCATTCCCATAAGATATCAAGGGTTTATTTAAAGCTATTCAGTTAGTAATTGGTGGAGCCAGAATGTGGATTTAGAAAGTCTGTTGGTGACAAACATTCTTTTAAAGTCCAGACATACCAACATTGAGGCAAACCACCCTTAGTTTTTAAGAGCTCTCTAGCTGGGTACCATGGCCATTACATCCATTCTGGCCTAACCCAACCAAGAAATCTCTCCTGGTGTTTCATAGATTCCTAGTCCCACATTGTTTAGTATGCTTACCCCAGAAAGGAGTCTCCCAGAACCTAAGCTGCATGCTTTGCATATGCAAATTGTCAATTTTCTTTCTAGCATTCTTTAAATTATTTGCCTCAATGTTTGTTGCTGTCTTAAGAAATTAGCACAGGAATGATGATTATATTCATTGCCACTAGCTATAATGCATCAGACTCCTACAGTGCAGCTTGAGGGATTTTGTAGATTTTCTTCTTCCCATTAATATTTAAGCTTGAGCTAAGGCAGACAAAACTGAATACATAACAAATAACCATCAAGGTTACTCTTTATGGGTCAAGCATAATGACAGCCTCAATTATTGTGATCCATTGCAATGGAGGCAATGGATTTTATTAAAAATATGCTGTTCTTCCTCCAGCTTTCTGTTTTTCAAGCATTAACAAATTAAATTTGGAATACTATTCATCAATTGGCAATTGGATAGAGTTGAGTTTTAGTTTTTGCTCTTTTTTTCAGATTCATAATAATCGTTTTATTTGCATTCACTGGACATCTTCCATCTGCCAGACCCTGGGCTGTATGATCTGCAATAATAACTTTACCCATTCTCCATAAGAATCTGTGATGTAGGATTGATTGCTCTCCCCATTTTATGGCCAAAGAAACTGAAGCAAGTAAGTGTAAGGCTACTACGTTTCATACCAAGGCAATCTGGCTCTACAACATGTGCAGATATTTTATGTGTTATGCAAAGGAGATAAAAAGGAAGCAGGGATGGATAAACTAGGCCCCATACCAACTCCAGAAGCTTCAGAATCATTTGGGAGAGATGGACACAGGACTTGGCATATAACAAACATTCACTAACTAGACCAGTGAGTTGTCAGTGAATGAGGCTATAGGCTGCACTTGTTAAAGACAAAGTCATCCCCAGTCCCGTGCCAATGTTGATATAATAGAAATGGAACAGCCAATAGAACTTCAGGTTGACACTAGGGATATAATCCAGTTGGAACAAGCCTTTCTAGTATGCATGAAGCCCCAAGTTTGATTACCAGCATCATATAAACCTGGTGTGATGGTGCATGCCTTGAATTTCAGCAGCTAGAAGATGGAGGCAAAGAGACAAGTAATTCAAGCGTTAAGACTAATAATCTCCTAGATAGCTCATATGTATGTTATCATACGAATAAGAAGCAAACACTCTAGGTTTTAAGAGGTGAAATCATGGTATCTGATCCTTTGGAGAAGATCTTGATCCCTCACAACCAATTGAACATATCCTGTGTTGAACTGAAATGATGCCTGTTTTTTCTCACCTGTTCTTTGGTTGCCCCATGTACTCCAATACCTCATGCATGCCCAGGAGAAGCTAACATTTTCTTTGTAGTTTATGTAATACTCTACCACTTCTTTACCAATATTGCTTTTTTATTTTCATATTTTTGTTATTTCTTCTTTTAATATCTTAGAAGTTCTCTGTCAGCATTAGACTTCATTGCAACAGATGCATTTTCTTTCCTAATGGCAGGGACAGGACAGCATTGTTTCCAAAGATATTTCCCACCAAGTCAATTTTGTCCTTAATGACCTTCATTTCATTTTTCAATGCCTCTATTCCTTAAGGCTTTTACCTCTTCAAGTGGGAGCTTGCATAAATTTAATGTCTTCCAAAATAATGTCAGATATTAAGGATGACAGAGGTTGGTATCCAAATCTTTGGTTAGTAGCCAGTGCCTACATGAATTTAGAATCACCTAGGATTCACACCATAGGCTGTTTCTGTGAAGGCATTTCCAGAGAAGCTTACCTTAGGAAGGACAACCTATCCTTAGTGTGGGCATTACTCTCTTATGGGCTGGAATTTCTGATTAAATACAAAGAAACAGGGAGGAAGCCACTGGTACCAGAATTCATCTCTTCCTGCTACCTGACTGTGTACACAATGTGTTGGTCTCATGTTCCTCATGGTGGCTTTCCCACCACAGTCAATCGACAACTATATTCTCAAATTGTGAGCCCACATTAACTTTTTTCTTCTTAAAAATTTGGCAAGCATTCAGTGACAACAATGGGGAAAGAAATTAATATAATGGTTATGATATAGAGTCATATGAATGTGAGATTTTCCTCTGGTCAACCACATGCCACTTATTGAGGTCCCTAAGGGAACAGTACAAAGAAGTACATGCTAGAAATCACCATACTTTATCTGGGATTACAAAGCCACCTGTTCACTAGAGCATTCTTGGACTTTTTTTGGAAATGAACCTAAGAACTTGTAGGAAACATGAGGCAATCTGGATTTTTTTTTTTTGTTGAGCATTTCTTTAAATGTCTTTCAGCCATTTGTAGTTCTTGTTTTGTGAATTCTCTGTTTAGCTCTTTAGCCCATTTTTTTTTTTTTTACTTAGGTTCGTGCTCAAAGTTCAGAAAGTACATTCATGATGGTGACCAACGGGTTAACCATTGAAGAGATCAACACAGTACAGGCTATCAAAAGATGGTTCTTGAATCCCGTGCCAGGATGTCTTTTGTTATGTGTTGCTTTGTTCATAGGGTATAGCACACCTTTTTTTTTTTTTCCTCAGGAAGGGCAACCTAAGTGGGAGGATGAGAGAATGGTCATCTTTCTATCTCCCTCACTTTGGATGCAATTTTCAAGTTTAATATCACTTGATTTTGACAAAAAGTCTTTAACATAGGTATTGTTATTATTTGCACTGAGGAGTTGAGCACATACCTTTAACATTAGAGACAGAAATGAAGAAGATGCAAGAACCATCAAACCAGGACAGTCAAACTCCAGCTCCTCAAGCTCCCGAGGAAGATACAATATCCTGACAGTCTTCAGGTATCACAGAAAGAGATAGACAGCAGTATTCTCAGAGGGTAGATAAAAGGCTTTGAAAGAGTTGTCTTTGTTCAAATAGGTCAATCCCTAAGAATAGGAAGGTCAAAACAGGCTAGGTTTCTGTCCCCCTGCTTTAGAAAAATAACCAAAACTTTGCAATAGGAACAAATGTATGCTTAGGATATTGAATTGAATTAGCTATACTCCCAAACTCTTTAACTCGAGAGCATCTTGGAATCTTCATCTTAGATTGAAACCACTCTGCCTGAGGGTGTTTTTATAACTATAATTTTTGTTTCTGTTTTTTTTTTTCTCTTAAGTTTTCAGATAGAAATGCTAAGTGCTAGATGCACATTTGCTGGACAGAATTCATGTCAGGACATGCCATATTATCCCTTGTCAGGACATGGGATAAAACTTGGGAATGTCTGACTTCACCCCCATCTCTATAGTTTGACAGCATTACTTCTTTATGCTTCCATGCCCACATCTGCTTTTTGTGAGGGTACCCTTTGTTTAGTATACTCTCTCAAATGGTAACAAAGACATGACAGTTTTTGGGTTTGCACTGACTTCCAATCACATAACCTTTGCAAAAACTCTGTTTTCATAAACCTAAGAGTGATATGGAATGATTATGAAGTTGTGTGTTTATATGTTTGTCTGTTTATATGTTTACTTAGGAAAAACAAAAGCTAAATAACCTCCTGTGTACAGGATACTTATTGCTTTAGGGCACAATCTGTTGCAGAACAGTTAAAACTGTTGCTAAGGCATCTATTGTCATAATGCATTCCAAGGCAGCCTTGTTCTGGCTCATTCTGCATCTGTGAGAAGGGTGATTTATTGCTAATACTAATAATCTTTCTTGAAAGCCATAGGGCAGCTAAGTCAAACATGTTTGAAGAGAATATATCATTTTCTGTTGTTTGTTTTTAATGGCATTCTTGTGGCTGATTAAGAAAACATGTTATTTTGTGGATAAGTATCCTTAGAAGTAAATGCATATTCTTAGTTAGTCAACTAAAGAAGCAACATTTACATAAGATTCTCTTATTTTAAATCCCTGGCATTTATTCTTCTATTTTCATTTCTGAGGATAGTAGTATTTGAGAGATGACATCATAGGCAGCATCATCATTACTACAAAGTTTTATTGATAATGACTAATCTCAGAGCCTTTAACTTTAAAAATGGGGGATTTAGAAATTGGAAACCCTACAGACACAGAAATCTAACTCTTTTCTTCAAAGAGGAAAGAACTTGGAAATGTTTCTGCTTTCTTTTAGCAACTTCTTGACAGAATGCTACTTGTAGTAACACTAGGAGGGATTGACATTGATTGGGACACTGGAACCACCAGGCTGGACCACTGCTTTGAAATTCAGATGTTCTGATGATCAGTTGTGAAGTTAGGGTGTCCCCAGGCAGCTGTGCTCAATCTACTCAAGATTTGCACTCATTCAGCTGTCACCCAGACTGATCCCAAGGTGAGGATTGGGCATGGGGATAGGTAATTAGGAAAATTTATTTCTGTATCAGGACACCAAAAATTCATCCTATTTTTATTTTTCTTTGTGCTTTCTTCCTTTACCATATTAAATGCTGCCTTCACCTCTCGATGCACAATAAGGTAAATGTGAATGGTAACAGCTCCCAGAGGTAATTGGTCTTCATTAGATGTAAACTGTCTGTCAAACAAATATTGTTCTAAATTGAGGACATTAGTTATCCCATGGGAAGGATGTTGATATGTATGAAAACAGTCTGAAAAGATAAGAGAGTGCTTTATCCTGCCTCTGTCTATAAGGGTAGCACAAACATTATCAGTGAAATATAAAGGCAGATTGACCTGAATTTAAATTCAGCCTTATAACTTCCTTGCTGAAGAAATATGGGTTTATTTTCTTAAAGTCTCTAAGTTTCTAATTTCATTATCATGGATATTAATGTAGCTTCCATATTCACTGGTCTCTGGTGCAGATGAGGAAACATGGCATGCCTGAAAAGTTGACCTTAGAGCTTGGTGCTTGTCTAAGTTTTGTTGATAGTCACAAAAGATTGGTGATATAATTTCCACCTGTGAGGTCAGTTGTAAAATAACGCACTCACAAAATCTCCAAACTACTTTGATTTATTTGAGTTTTTACTGAAAAAAAGAAACATTTCTTAAAATGAAATGCTGTCATTTATTTAAGCGTGGTTATTAGACAATGAATGCAAAAGGAAATATTACAAACAGAATACCGAATTAATATGAAAAATCAAATGCATATAAGCTACCTAATTGTGTACTGACAAGTATCACTCATAAGTGTGTTATTATTTTATTTTTTGTTAAACAATGTCTCATAGCAAAGTTTGCCAAATCAAAGTTAAAGCGAATGTTTGAAAACTCTTAAGCTGGGATGATGATAGTTCAGTCAGTAGTGTGTTTGTCTTACAAACATGAGACCCTGTGTCTCATCCATACTATTCATGTTAGGAAAATTCCAGACAAGTTGGTGCACATTTATAATTCTGATGCTGAGGAGGAAGAGTCAGGCCAGTCCTTGAAGTTCACTGGCTAGCAGCCTAACCCAGTTGGCAAGTTCCAGACAACTAAGAGACCTTGTGCAGGGTGCATGCATAATGACACCCAAAGCTGTCCTCAAGCCTCCACATGCACATGCCTGTGTGCTTGTGTACACCTGTGTACACATGAGTGTGCACACACATGTACACCCACAAAAATGACAAAACTATTGAATTTTAATTGCCTACATGTAAAATAGGTTACTGAATATATAATATACGAGACAATGGGATATTCCACAAACT